GAGGGGAATGGACTCATGTCCAACACATGCATGGCTTACCTTCAGCAAAGGGGCCAAAATGTGTGAGTAGGTGGCTCAGATGTGACACTATACCTCACTTTGAGTTTGACATCCATTGGAACAACTCTTTTTAAAGTCACTACATGGTCAACCTAAATGCTCGCGCAGATAAGGCTGTCTTTCGGGTGCTCTTGAAGTCTTATTCGTTAATTGCACGCCACAGTCGTATTCACCAAGCTACCTACATCGACGCTCACTTTTCGGTGCTCCACTTTCAAGTAGGTCAGAGATGATGCGACGTGGAAACATTCTTTCGCCTTCTACGTATGGTTGCCTCAAAGACTTGACCATTCCATTCAAAAAAATGGTTTTCACAAGGACATGAACATCAAACGCACCAATTCGTTCAATTTACCACTTTATTTGTGGTTCAAGTGCACATTTTCAGGGAAATTATGGAGTCGTTAATTCCCTCCTCATGCACATACACAACACGGCATTACAAAACTTCAACAAAAGTGAAAGTTATGCACACACTTGCAAAAGGCACAACTTCAATACCACCTCTAAAGTTAGCATTTTAGGCCAAACTTTTCTAATTTCGGAGGCGACAACCACTTCATTAACTAACTAATAACCTAATTTTGAAATGCAAAAATAAAAGGGCCATTTACTTGACAGTTTTGGGATAATGTTTTGGCTGCTCATTTTCGCCCAATTGGAGAGCTCGAGGCTCCGCAGAAATTCCAATTCCGCGTTTCCGACGACCACCGTCAGGCTCACTTTTGGTTCCTCGAACCTCCATTTTGACGCCCCATGAACGCCCTCTTCCAAGAATTTGTGTCTTCTGGTTGCAAACAGACTGGTACTTGTCCAGTTCGGAGGACAAATAAGCAATTTGCTTGTCTTTCAGTGTCACCTGTTTGCGCAGATCAGCAATGATGCCCTCGCATTTCTGAATCTGCTCTTGATAGACCCCAACATCGTGCTCTATTTTGGTGTTATTGTGGTTCGAACCGTGAGAAGGTGAGGCTGGTGAGGAGGAGAGGGGAGGATTGCGTTTACTTTCAAGCATGCTGGAGGAGCGAGAGAAGTGGAAAGCCAAGTTACGCAGTCGTGCTGCTAGATTATGGGGAGGCTTAGCTGTGGTTGGGGAGGCTGGAGTGTGGACGGTAGAGAGATCGGCAGATGACTGTCCCTCCTTTGCAAACGCCATCCCGCTACAGCATTATTTGCCTTTAGCAATGATAAAGGCTTCCCCCTTACTACTGTTGTCTACACGTAGGCAGGCCTGTAATCCAACGCACCAATCAGGTGACTGCGTCAAGACCTTCACCTCTGTGGACTGAGAGGCAGGTCTGGCTGCAAGATCAAGGCTAGGCATGTTTTAATTTGCAACATTTTCGGCTATTGGATGGCCCGATGTCACCTCGTTTTCACACTAGCACTAATAATTATGTCGGACGAGGAACAAAAAAAATTGAAAACTACCTTAACCAAACATTTCTGGTCGCTGAAATCTCTTATTACTGGGGTGTTATGTATTCAACCAGAATTCCTTCTTAAAAGGAATGTTTTTCTACTTGCACATAATTGTGGAACAATAAGAGGCCAATAAGGCGTTGGAAATCTCTGGTTGCCTGTGTTAAAGTTTCCAACGATGTGTGATGCAAGAAAACTTCTCCAACTTGGCAAACCATCACCGATAGACTTATAAGATCAGATTTCTGCTATCAACACGTTTTTATTTATTAAAAAGTACAACGCCTCCAGAGCACTTAATAAGAACCACAACTGCAAACTTGAGAATGTGAAG